GCAAAATCTAGCAGATATGGATATTCCTTTCCAAGCGCTGCAGGTGGAAATGATAAGTTTTCCCGCTAATTTATCTAATCTTTCGACCAATTCTTAATACTTTTTGCTTACATTTTTGGTGTTGAATATATGGAGCAGGAAACTAATATTGGAAGGCATGTCAATGGATTGCGGAAGCATCCGTCAAATGAAGTGCACAGATTGGTGAAGCAGCTTGTCGGGTTATTACTTTTATGCGTGGTTAAAATGACTTCGCTTTGAATTCTTTTTCATTTACTTATGATTTCATCTTTGATGTTTAGGAAATGGAAGGAAACTGTGGATGAGTGGGTTAAGGTGAACCAACCTGAAGCATTTTCAAACCTCATTGGTAAATAGTCCAATTTCTGTTAATTCTCTTCATTTTCACTCTATCTGGCATATACTACACACATTAAAAAATAGTTGAATTGAATGAGATTAAAATATAGAAGAGATTTGTTTATTGCTAACTGTGATGGTGGTGGTAGCAGCTTATGGGGATTCACCTCAGCAGAACATGTCAAAAAATCAACAAAATGGCCATCACCAGGTCAAAACCAAATGTTATTCCAGTCAATTTTTTTTCCTGTTAAAAAAGAAAGTAAAAAAGGAAGTAAAGAAAGAAGCANNAAAAAAGGAAGTAAAGAAAGAAGCAAAGTTGGTATGAATACAGTTTCAAAATTCTGAAGTTCTGTTTTTACAGGTTCTGGATTTCGGTTACTTTCCAAATCTATGGAGTGAATGTAGGAATCAGATTCTTAAATTTGCAGTTGGTCAGTTTTTTGTTGCTTTCTTTATGTTATGCATTTAGGTGACATCATTCTCATGTTTTGTACCCCTCTAAAGGAATAATTAGGTGGATATTAGTTATTTTTCCTATAGTTGACGATATTGGTCAAGTGAAGAATTGATTTGATGTGTTGTGGTACAGGATGATCCCATATGCATTGTTACACGTAGAGATGGGAAGACGTTGGTGACTGGCCTATGGATTGATCATAGTTTTGATATGGGAATGCCTGTTGATTCCACCT